ATTTTTTCAACTTTAAACGCCAATTGCAGCCAAACGGATGAAAACACAGAAATGCATGATTACTTGCTACAGTCCCCAAGCATTCAGCTTTCATATGCATCTTTTGGTTCCATTCAATCTATTATAGTTCCTGAGAAAATCATTAAAATGTGAAGACACTGCTTTTTCGAGTGTTAACATCAACTTTAAACACGTATTACAACCAAACGGATTGAATCACAGCAATGTATGAATACTTGCTACATTCCCCAAACATTCAACTTTCATATGCATCTTTTGGATTCATTCTATCTTTTATAGTTTCTGAGAAAATCACTAAAATGTGAAAACACTGCTTTTTCGAGTGTTAACTTTCTATTTTTTCAACTATTTTCTTAATAACTAAATAATAAATCAATTTAAGAAACACTTTTTATTAGTAAACATTAAACAATTATAAAATTAACAAAATATTTAATAATTTACAAAAAATCTTCGCCCAGAACCATTTCCTTGTAGGACATGATCTCCAACATAGCGGTGCCTTTAGTCTCGTGTCTAATCATTTCGTCGACCTCCTTATAAAACCCAGGATCGATCAGAAAAACAACGCTCAGCTGATCTTCAACCCTATCCTCCTTTTCCACCTCTATACTCTGAATCTTGACAAGTTTATCCTTCCATTTCTTAGTTTCCTTGCCCCTGAATATAACTTGCAGCCTCATCTGGGCTCTCTCAATTGGAATACTATCCTTGAGGAGTTTAATAACCTGCAGAGCCTGCTGCTTAGCGTTCTGATTCGGCTTCACCGAATAATGAATATCTTTCATGGCTTTCTCGATGGTTGTCACAGTGTAGGGCCTCTTTATTTCCGGATTCACGCATTTATCTGCAACGGTTGAGGCGATATCTTTGAACAGTGCATCCAAATGACTGTGTCTCTCCTTGTCAGACACTTGCAGTTCACCCTTTTGCAAGATCTCCTTGCAGATTTCAGTTTGATCATCTTTGCCAAAAGCTTTTACCAGATCCTCCTTTTTGGCGACCTGTCCCTTGGACACATTTGTGAATACCGTGTGCGTCTGAAGAACTTCATCAATGTCCTTTTCTCTGCAACAAGTATAAGTTTAAATATAGTTCTTTCGGATAGTTAAATTGGATGACTTACACATTGTTTCTCCAAGAGATCACTTTGTTCCTGTAACAGGCGATTTCGAATCTCTTGCCAGCTTTCTTTGTCCTCACCACGGCTACATTCGTCAGGCGAATTTGATTTGTTGGTGTGAAGATCTTAGACATCTTGTTAGGTTATGTTTTGATTGTTGTTTCGCGATATTGCACCATGGGACCTTCAGTTGCTTGTAAATTAATTGCTCGCTAGGTGCAAGTTGAAGTTGCTATCAAGTGCTGCCACACACGGGACTCTTCCATGCCAATGTTAAAAACAAAGAATAACTATACAGCACACGCATTGAATGTGTGTGTATTGCACAAACTACTATATCGATTAATTAAATAAAGCTGATTGTTATGGCATGGAAATGCGTGGGTGCGTGGAACACAGATGCCTAGAAATTGAATTATTAGTTTGTGCTCTTAGAGTTGCATATGTTAGGTGTAGGTTGAGGATATCTTTTGGTGAGTAGGTGGCGCCGGAGAGGAGTTGTCAGATTAGCGATTCCGCGATTGGCGGTTGCATTCGAATGTAGATCGAAAGCGCGCCACCATTGGTCGCTCTCGGTAAAAGTATTGAACATGGCCCTGCAACTGACAGCCCGCAGCGATGATGATGACTATTGTCGAATAATGTAGTGTATGCTTATTAACCGCATCAAAGTACGGGATTTGTAAATCGAAAACGAATAAGGAGGTACGACAGTAGGCCGTCTCGGAGGAAAGTCTCTGCTCCGAATCTTCCGGTGGTTCCGCTCTCGCGTCCCATAAACAATTGCAACAACTACAACAACAACAAAAAAAAACATCACAGACTCATGTTATTGTGCTCCGTGAGTGATTATGGCATTGGTCACCGTGCAGAGGAGTCCCAGCACCAATAGTTCACCACAAAGCATCGTAAGTCACTGTTCTTATTGGTACTGTAACTTGTTTTTGGTCGGTTTGTAGGTTATGTAAATATTTGGATATATATATATATATAGTGCATTTTTTTTATATATAAACAAATGATAGATTACGCACGGATTACTAGAATTTCCCTTAGGTGCGTGCGTTCTGTTATTATGAGTTGGATGAATAATTCAACGCGTTTAGACCCTAGAAGGTGAAGACTACTATTCATCAGTCCACTACGGTTTCAATTAATTAACAGAATAAGACAGAAAGGAAGGAGCGACGCGACGTTGGTGTCTGCAGGGCGAAAAGGGAAGGAAGAACTGGATCCGAGCTGGCTGCTGTTGCTCCTGTCGTCGTTTTCTTCTTGCAGTTTCTTCCATTTAAGGCGGTGAATCGTAACGGTGGTTTTGTGAAGCGGCGCTGCTGCCGTTTCAAAATCTACTTGCATGCATACACACACAAAAGTTCTTTCTTATGGTTCAGCTGAGCCGTGGCGAGGAGCCTGGTGGAGAGAGAGAGAGTGTGTTGAGAATGCTTTTGGGGGAGCCCGGCCTGTCAGTTTGCTTTCGGCGTCGACGGGAGTCGGAGCTTGCGCCTCCAGCTTTTAGGTCTTCCGCTGAAAATATACACACAGCGAGAGAGAGAGAGAGATATAACCAGACTCGCTTCCAGACTATCAGTTGATAAAAGCCCGCCGAGCTGTCGGTATCGTCGCCGCGCGACTTCCTCCTTCGAAACACATACATTTGGTACATTTCTGGTACTGCCGGAGTGATCGTGTTGGTTGCTAATGTCCTGTTGCATAATGGGATTTAAAGACGTCGCGGTGGGACAGTGAGATAACTTTTCTTCGACGGATCCATCTCCCCAGGAACGGTCTCTCTTGATTTGATTTGATTTGAAGAAGGAGGAGGAAAATGCTGTACATTCTGCCGCCACCGAGGGCTCCGAATCCGCCCTCGCCGTGGGATTCTATCCTGTGCTCCGGGACGAGCACGCAGGCGGCGGAGAAGTCCTGGGGTGGTAGCGGTGGCACCAAGAAACCGCCACCCAGGGCCAAATTGCGCAGCATCCAGTTCAAGACAGAAGTGAGTTATCACCGACAAAAAAACAATATAATAGAAACAACACTGCACGCGCACGTTTTCTAGATTGCTTTCCACCAGATGGTTCTATTTTCGTCCCGAAAAAGGGTGTAATTGTAATTCCTTGTTTGTTTGCTGCTCTATTTTAACGTCACCCTTTTTCGACGGTATTCTTCATTTGTACGTGCATTTCTCCTTTTTTTCAAAAACCTTCAATGTCCTGTGGGATTTGCGAATTTGGAAAATTGAATGAGAATATTTGAATATCAGCGTTAATCGATAGTTTGGTTGATCTCCCAATTGGTCTTCCAATAGAATGGATTATTCTATTTTTGCTTTAATTGATAATTTGCTAATATAAACAATGCTTGTAAACATACTGTAATAATTCATTTAAATTGATATGTACATAACGAAAATGACTTTTACGTTTGCAGTTGCAAGTTTTATCTGTGATTTCTTTCAAAATTATAAAATCCAACGCCGAACAAATAGCATAAAATGTAAATCACTTTTCGTTTGTAAATGCACAATTTCGTAATCTTATTAGTATCGAGTGAACTATGAAAACGTTTTTTTAAATAATTATTTGTCATTTGCACAGGTCACTCGGTTTCAAAAATTACCCGATAAATGTGATAAGATAAGCAAGATTATTAATATATTTAAATTTACATTGAAAATTGTAATTTACAAATTATTGTTTTTTTTTGTTATTAATTGCATTTTTTGTTTCTATGTAATATATGTTTTCTAGGTACAGATTTTCAATGTAATTACTTGTAAAAATGTTTCATCTCTTAATGTATATAAAGATATGAAGTCGATTAGAGCAGAGCAGAATTTTAAATTTTGTTAATTGCAGGAAATCAAAAAAGAATACCGGAGCGGTTAAATGCACATGAGAATACTGGAAATTCCGTATAATTGCGCCGTGCGCGATTAATTAATAATTATTGCATGCGGAATAAGCGCATGTGTAATTAATTAACGAGGAAGCGAATAATATTCGTGTACACATTTACGCGAAGAAAGAAAGAATGAAAATGGAAAACTCTCTGTACGCTTGTGTCGATGATTATTATGTGTTTGCTTATGAAAGACGTGCATTTTATACAATTTTAAACTAAGAACGCGCTGCCGTTTTCCTTGTTTGATTTGATTATCAGCGAGCGCATCAAAATATATATGAAAAACTTTACGTAATTTGATTCCACAATGTTAAAATTTGATTATATAATTTTAATTAATCGGTTGCATCTTCATTTTATTAGTTACATCCCTCCAGCCTCTAAAATCCTTTTTATTTATTTTCCAATCATTCAATTAGAAGAATCAGTTTAAAGACATAAGACAATTGAGCTTGACAAAGCTTAACAAATTGTTGTAATTATGATTTACATTTTTGATACAATGAAAGAAATTATTGAAAAAAAATCAAAATAAATTTTGTAGTTAATTGCAAAGACAAATGAGGATGAATATGATGATTCAAATCGGAGCATTTGCGTGTGGAAATTATTGATGCAACTATCTATTATTTTTGCCTTGATTAATTGCATACACGTTTTATTGCAATTTGATATTGATATGAATCATTCAGATAAATATGATACCGGAAAAATATTGCGTTTCGACGATCGTTCTGATAACATGCATCATTTATATATAAACGAATGAAATTTTAATGAACTGAATTTTGTATCCAAATTAAAAGTCTACAAGTTAACATTGATCGTTTGAATAAAAAACTAAACAGTTTGGTTTTCCTATTGATGTTAGTTGTTTTTTTCTTCTGTTCACTATTATGATTACAAACATTATTCGATGCTTTATTTATAGAAAGGACACACACTGAATACAGTTTGTTTTAATAACACGCCGATAATTGTTGGTGTGTTTCGCAAATGAAAAATTTGAACTCTGTTGATGAATTGAATGTATCTAACTAGGAAATTATCTTGTATCTAAATAGAATGCGCTTCAAATAATGCTCAGACACGCACTACATTGCATCAAAAATGACCTCGCGCTCCCGTGAACCCCTCTTGACAAATGCAAAACATCTTGCGTTGCGTAACATTCAGTGGCCAAGGTTGCTACAAACATATCTGCGACTGATGTTTTAGGACACAATCTTTTATTTCCTTAATTTTTATAACACTTGATTGATCATTTTCTACGTTGTATATGAAATGTGATTCCTGTTAACGATAGAAAGGGTTTTTCCTTTGCGAATGTGAAAATTCAATGAATGTAAATCGCGGCGAAATGATTTCGTTTCTGCGGAGCTGTAGAAAGTGTTCTTTTTATCAAGCGCGTTGTTGTTTGCTAAATGAAATGCACTCGGCGGTTCGCGTTCTGATAATATGCAGCGTTTTCAGCACGGTAGATTTATCTCGGAACAATGGGGGCACTTTTCCCGCAATTAACAGATTGCAAAACCACCCCGAACCGAGTCCGCAATGCCTAATTGCGTTCAACAACGTTACGCAACGAATTTTAATAAAAGAGCGAATGGAAAGGAAGGCGTTGCTTACGTGTTTCGCTTTTGTTGTAAATGAAAAGACAGATTTTCTTTAGGATTTTTGTTGTAATTGTTATATTAACTTCCTGGTTTCTTTGATTATTTCTCAATTAGATGTCTTGTAAACTTTAATTGAAAGTAAGATTAAATTAATTTTGATTTTATCTGAAGCAATTATATAATAATTAGGGTTAGTTCATATTCTGCAGATGGTGGAAGAACACATGATGCACCCTACCCTTGAATTTGTGGGGACGAGACTTATCGGTGCGTTATGAGCGTGGATCAGATGGTTTCCATTCTTCGAAGGGTTTTAGGGTGGCCCTGGATACGGAACAAAAGACGGCTGACGTATCGCTGGGTTTAAATCTAATCCCAAGGAATGATCCGTCCATCCATTGTGCACGTTTTATTAGACTCCAAGGAAATTGCACTTGCTAACGTAAAATTTACCTCAATTTATTTTCTATGTCGAAAACGTATTAACAATTGTTTTGTTGTGAAACTACACTAATCTATTGATAGTTAATTTTTTCTAGTTGTTGTTGCAAATATTTGCTTGCAATAAACATCTGAAAGAAGTGTGTGTAGAGTACATGCGTGTGTAGTTATGCAACGATCGGCATCAAGTTAAGACAAGTCATGTTGCAAAACGTAATGCGCTTAAGACTCGTTGTTTATAATGGTATC